GTTCCGTTGATGGCGCCATGGACGTGCGCATGGCAGTGCAGATGCGGGCAGCAGAACTGGAATTCGTCGGTGAACTGCGTCAAGTGCAACGGTCATTGGAAGTCTTCCAAGAAAGAGAGCGGCACCAGCAACCCCAAGGGCCGCCAGCGATCCAAAAGCCAGAAGAGCCAGAGAACAGCATCAGAGTCGCGCCCATGGGAAGACGACCTGAAGTCCAACGGAGCCCCGTTCGTTCGCATGGCGACCCCTGCAGAAGCACAGGCTCATCCAGATTACCAACCCCTGAGCTCGCGCGCCACCGAGTCGGAGAAGAAGGAGTACTACCGCGAGACGCGCTCCAGGCTGAACCTGCTCCAGCAGCGGTACAACCTCGCGTGGGCCATGAGGGAGCCAGTGCAGGAACTCGCCACTTCCATTTCCATACTGAGAAGAATGTTGATCTCCGAGAAGAGCTTGCACCAGCAAAGTGCTTGGACGGAGACTACGTTAGCCAGGATGATGCTGCGAGTGGAAGCAGCAAACAAAGAAGTCATTTCGCTCAAGGACCAGCTCCAAGCGAAGGTCAACATCAGAGACAACTTGCAGGACCAGCTGGATGCTCTGAAGCGTACCAAGCAGGAGATCCACCAGCTCATGGAGGAGGAGAAGCGCCAGAAGGAACTGGAGGTCAGCGAGGACATGGACGAGGACAAGCCGAGCCAGGGCGTTGTGGTCTTCCTCGAGCGCACCTTGGAGGAGATCCCAGCAGGTCAGCCGGCCCCTGCCTCGCCAGTGATTCCGACTCCAGTCGCGCTCTCCTCCTCAGCATCGACACCGGCGGCGTCCACAGCAGGTACTGCACCTTCGAGTGCGAGCGTACAGCATGCGGTCCAGCAGCAGGTCGAGGCACAGCTGAAGCCCATGGCGGACCAGATGTTGCAGATGCAGCAGATGATGGAGGCCATGATGATGAGAGACGTGGCGCGCGCGGCAGCGCCAGCGGCAGCGGTAGCAGGCCACATCTCTGTGCCAGCTTCACCAGCGCCAGCTGCGCCACAGCCGCCGTCACCACCGACTGCAGCTCCCAGTTCACCACCATCGTTGACGCCGACGCAGCCGTGGACGCCGATACCGAGGGTGGAGTCCACAGCGCAGGACATGACCGCGGGACGGACTTCGGTGAGGGAGCGGGCTGCGGCTTTCGAGAGCGGCTCCGAGGGCAAGTTCTCGCTCGGGCCGCGCCAGCGTGGCAGCCAGAGGACGTCAGCATCGCGGAGCCCAAGCGTTCGCACCCAGAGGGCGAGAGCGCCAGGATCTTCAAGGCGCCCCGCCAACGACAAGGGCAAGTCGAGGGCGGCGACGGCAGCATTCCGCAAGCCGCTGAGACGGACAGATGTCGAGGCGGTCGCTCAGGCAGCGGAGGACCACCGAGTGCCGAGCAGCGACGCTGCCCATATCGACCCCTACGCGGAGGCCGAGTACTGAGCCTACACGGCCATGATGAGGTGTCGGATGGGGAGATGCTGACACCCACCAACATGCATGTAGACTCTAGCGAGAATACACCGCCACCCCAACTCTGTAGTGTTGAATTCGATAGGACCAAGTCCAAGGTGGCATTCGCCACGACTGTGCCTTTTCACTTCTATGATCCCTCCTCTTCCTCCTCCTCTCTTCCCGGTGGTGGGTTCGGCAGTTCGGAGGCGCGGACCCCTGGAACTCTGGGGGGTTCGGAGGTTGGAAGTCTCGTGGGCCCTCAGGCCCTTGACCTTGACAGTCGGATCCCGATCGAGGTCGCGATCGTGGGCGATGATCCTGCCGACTCGATCAGTTGTAAATTGGGGCAGATAGGTTTGCTCACGCGCCTCCAACAAGAGGGATGCGAGATAGACCTTGAGTTAGATGTCAACAGAGAGGGCTTGCATGCCCACGCGCAGCTTGGCTTGGACATGTGCCCGACTAGCGAGCACGTTGCCGGCCAGATTTCAATCTTCGTCGACGGGTCCTTCGACGAAAAGAACCCTAGCACAGCGGCCTGGGCGATGGCCGTGGTGGCCAAGGACAGAGCAGGAGCCTTTTCTTTTCTGGGGGCTAGGACAGGGAAGGTTCTCCCATCCGTTGGCATTTCTTTAGATACCACTCGTTTTAGCAGCGCTACGCCAGAGATGGGGGGTGTCCTCTGGGCCCTGCTTTGGCTCGGACTTCTTGGGCAGCATGAGGCTGATGGTTTTGTCATTGAGTCTGACTCCGCTTCTGCGATTCAGATTGCTGAAGGCTCTGCTCAATCTACTGCCCATCCTGAGTTTGGTACCTTGTTGCGACACTTGGTCGTGGACCTGCGAGCGAGGTATGACCTCACGTTCTGCCACGTCCCGTCCCACAATGCCCATCCATGGAACGAGGTAGTCGATGGCCTCTCTAAGCGTAGGCGAGCGGACTCCGAATCTCGCGACCCCGACTGGGCGATACTCTTGACCCCTGCGGTAGGAGACGCCTGGTCATGGGTTGCTGAGCTGGAAGCCGATCGCATCACGCATCCTGAGATCACCGAACACGGTGGACAGGCCAGTTTCATTACGCCCGTGCGCACATACGCGACGGGACACCCTCACCACTACTTACCCCTTGGACAAGAAGGTGGTCTTGAGCTCCCTAAAGAAATGGCTGGTGATCTCACTCTTAATGTTGCGACCTACAATGCGATGTCCATGCTTGAGAATACCAAAAGGCAGCAGCGGAGACACAATGCTAAATTGGTCAGGAAACAGTTTCACGAGCAGGGCATTCAGGTCCTTGGGATCCAAGAAGCGCGGACACCCGAAGGGACCAGGTCCGCTGATGGCTACTATATCCTTGCCTCTGGAGGCGACGGGAAAAACTTCGGTGTGGAAGCCTGTTTTTCGCTGACCATTCCGTATATGAGACACCAAGGTCACCCAAGGTACTTTCAGAAAAGCCATTTTCTTGTCACGCATAGAGATATCCGCAGGATTGTAGTGCAAGTCCGCGCGCCACGACTTCATTTCACTTTCATGGTCCTGCACGCTCCCTATCAGGAAGCGCAGATCAGGACCATCGATGCTGGTGCACTTCAGAGGTGGTGGGAGGAGACTACCGCGATAACCCAGCGTATGTCGGTCGACGTCGCGTCTGTCGATGCTAACGCGCGCGTTGGTAGCATTTCGTCCGTCGCTGTCGGGGTCGGAGGATGGGCGGAGGAAGAAAATGTTTCGGGAACCTGCTTTCACCAGTGCATGTGCGAGTTAGGTCTTGTCGCCCCCATCCACTTTCTCTGATCCCAGCTGGAGCAAGGATACAGAGCCCAGCGGTTTGCCGGCCATCGCTTTCGAGCAAGTCTGGAGTGATCTCGATGATCTGATGGAGGTCAGTGATCACTTCCCTGTTGCGCTGGGAATGGCGTGGGTAATCCACGACAGCTCAGAGCCTAGTAACCGAAGCGAGGTCAGCAGGCCTAGATACAATCGTAAGTTGACCAGCGACCAGCACAGAGTTGCGCTCTTCAAATCATTCGTGTACCATCCCCTTGATGCCATGGTCGACTGATATCAATAAACATTATAGTCAAGTTCAGGAGCAGATTATTTGGGCGGCGGCTGCCGCGTTCCCTGTCCAGGTTGTCTACCCGCGGAAGCCTTGCACTGATCAGTTAACACTCCACTTCGTCAATTGGAGACGAAAGAACAAGGCCGTCCTTCGCACTGCCCCTGACAAGAGAGCCCAAGCTATGTACAACTGGGCCAACACTCTTGTTCAGCCTTGTCCTACCCCCGTTTTCGGGGGCGGGGAAGAGGCCCATAGCCTCCTCATCTCCTTCGAGGCCTGTCTGTGGGAGCTTAAGCTGTCTGCCTTGGCTTTCTTGGAACTCTTGGACCTCGATTCTTGGGGCGGGGCGCTCCGAGGCTTCCTTTCCTCCACGGCTGGACTGCTCAAAAAGAAATTTGACATCGACAAGACTGACACCCTGGAAAGGATGGTCAGCGATATGTGTGATGCCATCGAGGATGGCAATGCTAAGAAAGAATGGCAGGTTGCTAGGTCCCTTCAGGCTTTCGGGGGTCGTCGGAAAAACTCCAGAGCGGTGCCCTTCCCATTCGTAACGGGCCCGACGGATGTCCCCTTAAGACGAAAACCGAGGTGGCCGGTTCGGTTCAGGCCTACTTTGCTGGCAAAGAAGGCGGGACCCTGTACACCGAAAGCAATATTTGTGCCAAGTATAGCGAAGATAATCGTGACCGCCCCCCCCTGCTCGAGCGCCCTGCTGAAAATCTGATGACTTGGGATCAACTTCGTTTTTCGCTCTCGCAGGCCACCCCAGGCAAGGCAGGAGGACCCGATGACGTTGTTGAAGATCCTTTACGATGCGCTCCCGCTGAGACTGCCCGACTGGCCCACCCGGTCATCTTAAAGGCGGGCATGCACACTCAGGAGCCACTTGCTTTCAAGGGAGGGTGGGCCCACGACTAGTATAAGAACTGCGGCAATGCGGCGATGCACGAGAGCTATCGCCAAATACTTCTGATGAACAATGTTGCCAAACACCATCACAAATTTTTGAGGAACCAGTTTAAAACGTTAGTTGCGGGGCTTATGATCGAGACTCAGATGGGTGGGGCCCAGGGTAAAGGGACCGACATGGCGACCCATATGGTTCGTACTTTCTCGGCTGTGTCCTGTGCCAAGGGCCTCTCCACGGCGTTAGCCTTCATCGATCTGAAATCGGCCTTCTACAAGGTCATTCGCCCCATAGTTATGCCCTTTCTTTTGGACCCCCAGGACATAGCTGACGCCATCGACGCCGCCGATATCCCAGCGGCCCTGGTGCCGATCTTGGAGCACACCATTGCGCAGCCTTCTGTTTTGGAAGACCTCGACAATGTTCACTTGTTAAGAATGCTGGCGGACCTGCACACTAACACTTGGTTCAAAACCAAGGGGTCCCGAGGAGATATTCGAACCACCACAGGCTGCCGCCCTGGTAGCTCACCTGCGGACCTCGTTTTCAACCTCCTCTTCGCGCCTACCGTGCGCGAAATTCGAGAGGAGCTCAGCAGTGCCAATTACCTGCTTGAGCTCGAAGGCCAGCAGGACCCACTTCTCTCTGCCCCAGGACGCTGAGACTGACTGTCTCGCGGACAGCACCTTTGTTGATGACCTCTGCGTCATGGCCGTGGTTCAGTGTGCTGCCGACCTCCCCCAGGCGATGTCTGACGTGGTCGCCACCATCAGCAACGCCACGGTCAAGCGAGGCATGACTATTAATTTCAAACAAAAAAAAAGTAAGTCTGCGCTCCTTGTTCACCCTCGAGGTGCGGGAACCCGCACGGTCAAAGCCGATCTCTTTCCTGTTGCTGATCCTGTCTATTTCACCCACTATGATGATGAAATATTTCTCCAGCGACCATACAAGCACCTAGGTACCATGTTAGCCCAAAGTGGAAGCCTCGCTCCCGAGTTGGCCCATAGAAGGACCCAGCAGAAGACGGGACTCGGACCTTTGCGCAGGACGATTCTCAAGGCCAAAAGGCCCCCCACCAAGACTCGGGCCAAGTATGTTGACGCCCTCTGTACTTCGAGACTGCTTCATAATGCCCATGTTTGGGGACAGTTGTCTAAGGAGCAGCAGCATGCGATGATTGCCGCCCACCTGGCTCCTTTCAGGTCCATCTTGGGGATTCGGCTCGGACGCCCCGACCAGCCGCATGTTGCCAACGAGCAAGTTTTGCTCGACGTCGACAGGCTCGCTGTTCCCGACGTCCTGCGTCTCATGCGGCTTCGGTACTTCGCCAGGCTGATGACTTCGGCCCCGCCCCAGCTGCGGCAGCTCCTCGATATGGAAGGCCGCTGTAAGAAGTCTTGGGGCGCTCTTGTTCGGGAGGATCTGGCCTGGCTGCAGAAACTCCATGATTTTGAAGCAGATCACACACTCTCAGCTCGCGAGCTTTTGTTGCAGGCGTCTGCCGACCCAGCCCGTTGGAAAAGAATCTGCAGGACTGCGGCACGAAACTTTAAAACATGGCAAGCAGATCAGCACCGGCTGCAGTTGTGGAGAAAGGAGTTGCGCAACACATGAAAGGCTCACACCATTCCGCCGCCTGATACTGCTCCGCTCCCTGAGCCGATCACGGAGTACGTCTGTGATACGTGCCAATATGTGTGCTTCCATGAAGGAGCCATGCGATCCCACATCACTAAGAAGCATGACGACCCTGCGGGCAGAATCGCAGAGACGGGTCTGTGCCTGGCTTGTGGGGTTGACTTTGTCACGCGTCCCCGTCTCCTCAAGCACCTTCGGCATGCTCGTACTGGTTGTCTCGAGCTCTGGAGTCGTACCATGGCTCCCGTCCCCGACGCGAGATACGAGGAGTTGCGCGAAAATGATCGCACTTTGGTGGCCTCCCTGAAGGCCAAGGGTATGCGCGCCACCGAGGCTGACATCCCCGCTCGCCCCGAGGACCCTGGAGATGCCCTCCTTTCTGCCCTGGATGGTCTCGGTCCTCCTCTGCTCCGCCCTACTTTTACCCCCGTTGTTTGGTTCCCCGAGGCCGAAGGGCATGTCCCTCCGAGCCCCCGTATGCTTCAGCCTAGCGAAACTAGATACATTCTCCATCTCTATAGTGGACAGAGACGGAGAGAAGACTTTCAGCACTGTGTAGAGTTGTTTCAGATTCTTGAGGCTCCCACTGGGCCTCTTGTCGTTCTCTCGATAGACATCGTCAACAATGATGCCGATGGCGATCTCAGGTCTCACAGTGCCCGCAATAAACTTGCTTCACTTGTTTTCCAAGGTCTCGCCATTGGTGTTCTTGTAGGACCCCCGTGCGAGACCTGGTCGTCGGCTCGATTTCTAGAGGTCCCCCAAGGCCAGCGTTCTCGTCCGCTTCGGTCTATACAGTTCGAGTGGGGTCGACCTCAAGCCACTCCCAGAGAGTGGGCTCAGATATCTACAGCGAATGATCTGTATCGTGCCGCATTGTATTTCATGTACGTTTGTCTTGCATCGGGTGCTTGCGGTATGCTCGAGCACCCTGCTTGCCCGTTGAATCAGGTTGCTCCCTCGAGTTGGTTCCTGAAGGAAACCAGCCACATGCGGACCTTGTCGTCGATGGGTTTTAATGTTGACACGATCTGGATAGACCAGTGTATGCTTGGTTCGCAATCGACGAAACCAACGATGTTCCTGACAGTGAATCTTCCCTCCGTGCGCAGAGAAGTCCACGTGATGCCGAACCGAGGACGCTGCAACCATGGAGGCCACGCTATTCTGGAAGGAGTCGATAACTTAGGCCGCTGGAAGACCCAGGCAGCCAAGCAGTATCCTCCCGAGCTGTGCATGTTTCTGGCCCGACAGTTTGTCGCATTCGCTTGTCAGGAGCTCAGAGAGAGGGGTGAGGTCCATCCGCGGAGCAGTGTTGACCTGACCCGTCACCCCCCTCTCGATCCTTCTTTGGCGTGCTTCTTTTGCCCGCTCGACCCGTACTGTGAGGCCCAGCAGGTCGGTGC